TGCGGTTTTTATTCAACGCAGTCATAGGTTTGGACGTTGTTTTCAATTTAGACTTGTTTATATTTTTTCGTTTGGGCTTGTATTATATTTGCCTTCGGGTTTATATGATCCGTTCATCCTATTTCGACTTTTTAAAATTCAAGAGTCTTTCCTAAATTGAGGTAAATTATATGGCCTTCCAAATACCGTTTTGATCCCTAACATCACTGAAGAGACATTAATTGTCGAAATCCGGATATGGTGTACAAATTTTGCACCTCATGTTTGCGATATACCATCTTTTCCGCAAGTTTATTTTTTTCTGTTTGGTATTAAATTAATATAATTAAGATCCATTGTGTTACATTTGTGATCCGTTTATTTGGCAATCGCCAATGGCAGTCAGCAGGGTTTAAGAACGTCCGTTGTTCGACCTGTTAGTCAAATGCGTTTTGTTAAAATATACTTTTTCACTTTTTTGGTCTTTTGGAAAATGTTGTTTGTGCTGTATTTAGACCCTTTTACCAAGAAATTTGTTTTACATGCACACGTATGAAAATTGCGGTTTTTATTCAACGCAGTCATAGGTTTGGACGTTGTTTTCAATTTAGACTTGTTTATATTTTTTCGTTTGGGCTTGTATTATATTTGCCTTCGGGTTTATATGATCCGTTCATCCTATTTCGACTTTTTAAAATTCAAGAGTCTTTCCTAAATTGAGGTAAATTATATGGCCTTCCAAATACCGTTTCGATCCCTAACATCACTGAAGAGACATTAATTGTCGAAATCCGGATATGGTGTACAAATTTTTGCACCTCATGTTTGTGGCATACCATCTTTTCCGCAAGTTTATTGTTTTCTGTTTTATATTTAATTAATATAAAGATCCATTTTGTTATATCTGGTGATCAATTTATTTGACAATCGCAAATGGCAGTCAGCAGGGTTTAAGAACATCCGTTGTTCGACCTGTTAGTCAAATGCGTTTTGTTAAAATATACTTTTTCACTTTTTTGGTCTTTTGGAAAATGTTGATTGTGCTGTATTAAGACCCTTCTACCAAGAAATTTGTTTTACATGCACACGTATGAAAATTGCGGTTTTTATCCAACGCAGTCATAGGTTTGAACGTTGTTTTCAATTTAGACAAGTTTATATATATATATATATATATATACAAGTCTAAATTTATCCAACGCAGTCATAGGTTTGAACGTTGTTTTCAATATAGACAAGTTTATATATATATATATATATATATATATACAAGTCTAAATTGAAAACAACGTTCAAACCTATGATTGCGTTGGATAAAAACCGCAATTTTTATACGTGTGCATGCAAAACAAATTTCTTTGTAGAGGGGTCTAAATACAGCACAAACAACATTTTCCAAAAGACCAAAAAAGTGAAAAAGTATATTTTAACAAAACGCATTTGACTAGCAGGTCGAACAACGGATGTTCTTAAACCCTGCTGACTGCCATGGCGATTGCCAAATAAACGGATCACAGATGTAACGCAATGGATCTTAATTATATTAATTTAATACCAAACAGAAAACAATAAACTTGCGGAAAAGATGGTATATCGCAAACATGAGGTGCAAAAATTTGTACACCATATCCGGATTTCGACAATTAATGTCTCTTCAGTGATGTTAGGAATCGAAACGGTATTTGGAAGGCCATATAATTTACCTCAATTTGGGATTGACTCTTGAATTTTGACGAGTCGAAATAGGATGAACGGATCATATAAACCCGAAGGCAAATATAATACAAGCCCAAACGAAAAAATATAAACAAGTCTAAATTGAAAACAACGTTCAAACCTATGATTGCGTTGGATAAAAACCGCAATTTTTATACGTGTGCATGCAAAACAAATTTCTTTGTAGAGGGGTCTAAATACAGCACAAACAACATTTTCCAAAAGACCAAAAAAGTGAAAAAGTATATTTTAACAAAACGCATTTGACTAGCAGGTCGAACAACGGATGTTCTTAAACCCTGCTGACTGCCATGGCGATTGCCAAATAAACGGATCACAGATGTAACACAACGGATCTTAATTATATTAATTTAATACCAAACAGAAAAAAATAAACTTGCGGAAAAGATGGTATATCGCAAACATGAGGTGCAAAAATTTGTACACCATATCCGGATTTCGACAATTAATGTCTCTTCAGTGATGTTAGGAATCGAAACGGTATTTGGAAGGCCATATAATTTACCTCAATTTGGGATTGACTCTTGAATTTTGAAGAGTCGAAATAGGATGAACGGATCATATAAACCCGAAGGCAAATATAATACAAGCCCAAACGAAAAAATATAATCAAGTCTAAATTGAAAACAACGTTCAAACCTATGATTGCGTTGGATAAAAACCGCAATTTTTATACGTGTGCATGCAAAACAAATTTCTTTGTAGAGGGGTCTAAATACAGCACAAACAACATTTTCCAAAAGACCAAAAAAGTGAAAAAGTATATTTTAACAAAACGCATTTGACTAGCAGGTCGAACAACGGATGTTCTTAAACCCTGCTGACTGCCATGGCGATTGCCAAATAAACGGATCACAGATGTAACACAATGGATCTTAATTATATTAATTTAATACCAAACAGAAAACAATAAACTTGCGGAAAAGATGGTATATCGCAAACATGAGGTGCAAAAATTTGTACACCATATCCGGATTTCGACAATATATATATATATATATATGTATATCCTAGTATTCTTACAAATAAACAACAAATAGCTTACAACGTCATTCAATCTGTAATTTTATAAAGCTTCTTAAAAAGATGTTTTAAGATCATTTGGGCTCTTGTTGATACAGCTAATTGGCAAACCACTTCTGATTATATATACGTATACACATATAGCAATCTTTGTTTTTATGTCGTTGGTTTGCTGAACCGTTGGTCAGATTAAATAACTAAGGTCTGTTTTATTTATAAGATAATGCATTCCTTATGTATATCTTATCTTTGGTATATATTCACGGATCATCGGTCAAAAAGTATGTAAAATATTTATATAAGTAAGTTTTTCAAATTGTCCCTGCTAATAAAAGTGTCATTAGATTTGATTGATTATTGGTTGATTAATGCCTATTGGTTTGTTTACTGCATATTCAGGTAGAGAACAAGTTAACACAATATATCGTATAGGGTTTAGCATATGGAAATAAAGGGGGAGGTATTTCCTAACCGTTTTGGGACATCCAGTTGCCTTGCATCATATCTAAATAGATTTCAACTAAAGTCAATGGTGACACCCACTCTAAATTAATTTACACTTTATATGGTGAAATTTTGTACTATCTGAAATTGTTTGAAAATTTTCGGAATTCTTGTGCATTAAACGATATTAACAAGCTTTCTGTAGAGAACCTTCATGATTTTCTTCGGAACAAAAATATGGTCACCCCTCGGCTTCTCCCTTTCGGCAATGGAATCCATGCTAAGGAGGGACGTCCGTTTTTCTTTACGATGAATAAATGCGTAGCAAATTCCGGTCGCAATTTTGTGAACATTACATTCGATGACTCGTGATACTGTAGGGAGAGTGTCATGTTATATGTACGTTAAAGAATCTTTGCAACAACTCTTTGAGCGGTTTCATTTGCGGCCTGTTGCTAGGTACTAAGTTGCTGACCCATCCAACATACACTCTTCCCGTCGATCACCCCAGTCGACCCATTTTACAGAAACTGTCTTTAATCTCAATTGTTAATCAAGTTGTTCTTAATCTCAAACAATAACTTGTTTTCTAAGCAAACCATCTTGGCATGAAACTATAAAAGCAAACGTAAATGGTTGAAAAATACACAGAGCTAGATTCCCATTCTAACCGGATGTGGCTGCGAATTTATACGACCTGGACAGCCAAACGGACTCCTCACTTTGGCATGGATTTTCGTGCCGCCATGAGCATTTGAGTCAAATTGGTTAACATGAATTTGACAGCTAATGCCCCTTTAATAACTGTGGTTTCATTATTAATCAAGGGATACCAATTTTGTGGAATTCATGGGTAAAGGGAAACCATGAATTTAAATGTTCAACAATGTACAAATCGAGTTGGAAGAAAATCATGGGATGATCATATTTCTATGCCCAGTCAACTCTATGGGAAGGGTAAGTAGATCCTGTTCCACATGTGGCACCCCGGCGTAAGCAATGATAATCGGGTCTAGAACAGTCGAGTTGAGCAATATAATTGGGTCGAGAACAGTGCTTTGTGACCGCAACTCTAGATGTTACAACACATTTCTCAGATTGTTTTCATCTAGCAAGACCGTGTACGATTATGTGAGAAATCACCAATTCATTCAGTCTCCTCGGCCTGTAGCCCTTTTTAGTCTTAGTCTTAGAAATTTGACCCACCGGCAAAGGAATGATTGGATCCGACCGAATGCTGGTCAATGTCATGAATATGCAGATTGGTCAATTATCATTTCAAGTTTCGTGTTTTCAAAAACAATGTTTTATTTTATGTTAATAAATATCGGCAATATTTGTAGTTTTCACCATACATATATCAGAGACATATTGTATTATATGTCTCTGCATATATAGATCTATATTAATCACAATAAATATATATTATTACAAGGATTTATCAGGGACTTTCTATACTATGTTAGTCATGATTGAAAGTCCCTGGATTTATATAGTAAAATAGTAAATACTATATATAAATCCTTGATTATTTATAATAGATTAGACTATCCATAGTGTCATTTTAGGTTACCCCGTACAATTTCCACATATCATGATTCTTATTGTACATTTTGATGCATTCTTTTACTTTCCCAGTAAAAAATAATGCCGCACCTATGACCAAAGGTAAATCATACTGATTGTATCATATTTCCGGTCAAACCAGATTAAACCTCTCCCTATGCATTGCGCAATAATCGAAACACGTGCTGCTGTTTACATTTTATTTTCATAGACCAATCAGAAAAGAGTATAGATTATTTGGAAAATGGCGGTCTTGACGGAAGCATGACAGTTCTAAAGCTTAGTGAAAAATGACTGAGATGAAAGTAAACGGCTCACTTGGAGCCGGTGAACCGGAAGATACTTTAGATTTTAGACTCACGGAAGGGAACATGAAAAAGGTACCATCATCATCTCGATTTCAAGTGGCTAGGGTTGATTTTGCGGAACCTGTAGACAAAGAAGAAGCTGAGTCGGATGCAGAAGACACCATTGACAGAGAAAATGAAAATAGAGGAGACCGTTATCAACGCCAGGATTCTCACAGGGATTCAATAAATGTGTATATTGATACGATTAGTCCAACTGCTACATATCAATCTGTCAATGCTAATACTAATCATAAAACTTTTGGGAAATACACAACAGAAGCTCTGCCACACGTGGATCATTACAGAAATTTACTTTCTGCAACAAATGCACTTAAAAGCAGACCCACCCTTGCAGAACTACATGAAGAAAAGGTATGATGAATTTTACAAGTTAAAATAATATTCAATTATTATACACATTTAATTTGTGTACTAGTTACGTATACATATACTTTTATAATATTTTATGAAATGGGAGGAAATTTGAAATAAAATAAAAGCATTTTATGGGGAAAAGAAAACACTGTTTTGTTCATTTGATTATTTACAAAATAAAATATTAATTTATACTGTTTCAAGATTTTAGTTATGATGGTGACAGTACTGGCAATTCATTACATCAACTGTCAACAATGCTGGAATTTTCAGACAAACAAAATAACCATATTTTAGGGTACATGTACTGTTGGATAGGATATATAAATGAGAGTAAGAAAAATAAAAAAAAATTGAGAAGGTTAAAAAATGATCAGCAACTTATCAAGACAGGAAATTTGTAAGAAAGTTACCCTGTTAGTGGTGGATCTATGACCTGCCTGAGGTTGAAAAAAGGGCTGGTGTCACTTTCATAGATTTTATGATTCCTGTATACAGGTTTATATTTCTTTTATATTATTCCTGTCAGTCTTATTATAAACAGTGTTTGTTTCAAGATGACATGGTTGATATACAACTTACAATTTAATTGTATATATGTGTACATGTATTATACATGTCAATTTACTTAAGCGCCAACAGCCTTCAGGTTGACATCACATTAAATACTCACAATCAATCAATCTTGTACTTTAGAATATTCATATGGTCCATTATTGCATATACAATGTATATATCAATTGTTTAAAAAATGATAAGCATGCATTCATTTGTATATTGTGTTTGGTTTTTTTTAGAGTTTCAGGTCAACTTTTCAGGTTTGTTTTATTTGTTTTATAGGGTTTTTATAGATCAGCATTTCAGGTTTGTTTAATTTCTTTAGCTCACTTGGCCTTTCAACAGATCAATGGTGAGCCTCTTATAACACTTACCAACCTTTTGTTGTCTCTGTTGTACACTATTTTCAGGGACTTTTAAACTTTTGTTTTATCTATGTTTGATTGCAAGTTTATTTTCTCTGAAAAAAAATGTACATGTATATATAATTACATTATAGAATCAAAGTTATTATGGTATTAAATTTGAAAGCCAATCTTAAATCCTGTTGACACTGAATTCCAAATTGTTTTAACGAATTATCTACATGTGTAAGATTTTTAAAGCATTATTATGAAAACTGAATTATTCTTCAATGAAATTATACACTGCTTAATGCTACATGTATTTCTGTTATGTGTATTGCTCAATTGCAAAATTAATTGAATACATACATGTATATGTACAAAAAAGAGGAATAGAAAATTCAGTTTCCTATTAAACAATTTTTTGTAATGGGGAAAAGGTGTGAACTATCTGTTACTATTAACTATGTATACACAAAAGTCATGATTAGTGTTCTTTGTACTCAATTCTTGAATTTTTTGTGAAATTTTTTCAATTTAATGTGTTTGAAATCAGCAGTCTGCACCAAAATCTTTTCCCACAACCAGTCCAAAGACCAATATATACAAACATTTTTCTTATGTATCTAAACAAAAGTTTTGCAAATGCTTACTAGTCTGAATAAAATTTTACTAGTCTGGGGCTAACAGTGCAGACTGGAAATGGGTATTGCCCCAAAAAGTAAACTCAGCATTCATTTGAAAAGTAAAAATATAAGACAGTTTCCATTAAAAATTTTCTTTTTAAAAAATATCATTTGAATAATTAAATTCAAATTTTTACTTTCTTAATGCACATGTTTCTGTTAAAGCTTTCTTTAGCTGTCAGTGTCATGATTTCTCCATTGGAATTGTGCACCATGCTGGCTACATGTATTTTCCTCTTTCTATGGCTCACACAAATTCATTCTAATAATACATGTACAATGTACATGTGAAGTAAAATAAAAAGCATGGAAATTCTGCTGTTCATCTTCTGCAAATGTTTGTTACAACATTAATATTACAAAAATGTGTAAAAAGCATGAACATTAGACATCTCTTTCCTGTGAGCAACATTGCAGTGGTTTCTATAACTATACATGTATGTGTATGAAAATGTAAGATTTATTAAAATACATTTTCCTAAATTGACAATATTACATGTATGTTTCACTTGAGTTGATCAGTTGAGGCCGCTGTAAAAAAAAATGTAAATTAAATATCGTATAAGATAAGATTTTGAAATAAGGAAACAGAATTCATATTTCATATTTAAATTGGAAAACACTTTTAGAATTAAAACTAATTTACATGTGCATCAGGAAACCTTATGTACATTACTTGCCATGGTTGGTAAACTACTAAGAGGATTGGAGAAACAGGCCAAACCATTAGAAAGTACAAAGGCAGCAAATTCAAGTTCTAAGTACAAGACAAATCCCTCTTACAAATGTAGCAAACCTGTTGATTTACATCTGAATTTCTTTATTTTCACAATTTATCAGGGTTTAGATTAAGAAACGTAACATATGAGAAATAAAGAACAATATTTCATTAAAAAAATACATCCAAAATTTAATTCAAATGAGAATTTGAAACAAAATTATAGTGTTAATTTCATTTTAACTTCTCACATTGTGCTGTATTATGACATTAATAAGGTCACTAATAGATTTGGAAACAGTGAAACCGGTTGAAGACTATGGATAACATTTTGATAGTAATTATTCTCATTGAATACAAGTATTTAGAGCATTTTCGGCCTTTATTTTTTCCCTATTTAGAAAAAAATAATTACTGCTTCCGCAAATTTTTGGTCCCCATGCCGCTCCAGAATTAGTTTCTCCTTGAATTTTTTTTTCACATAGACATTTTACTATTGCATATATTGCTCTGATTGATTCTAACACACGCATGATAAATCGATTTGTAAACAAAAGGTAAAATATCAGGATACCAACATGTAGTTTATCAGCTCATTGCCGTGGACAAGTAGTTATTGAACACACAGTTATCCGAAATGCATCACGTTTTACTTTTGAAGACCTGTTCTAGGAGGCAAAAATTAAAAATCTTTTGTTAGATGACCACAATCACATCAATATTTGTTAGAACCATTGTCATCCCCGATCCTTGTTTCAACAGGCATAGACCTATCTATCTTGGATGAAATTAATTGTAAATTCCCATGAACTTTTTAAAAAATTAAAGAATATCTTATTTTGATGAAACCCCATACCCCCTTGTTAGTCTATTGGCATGCAAAAAATCAGAACTCTTTTATAAGGGGAAATTTAAGAGTACGAGACCAAGGTGGTGGTATTGTGATTGGCATGCTCATGATAAGGGATGTGTAATTGGTTCAACCAATTCTAGTCAAGCTAAAGAGTTTTAAATGCATTGCAGCTTTTAGGAGCAAAAGGAAAGAGTATTTTGCTCAGTCAGAACAATGCATGTGAATGTGGTGACAGGTATTTTAAGGGAATATTTTAATACATTGATATCTACATGCATAGCAATACAACTATCTTACTCAGGATGTTGTTTTAGTACTAAGCAGGAAATATTCACCTCACTCATTATGTTGATCCTTAATATGGGTAAATAGTTCCAACTGGATGTCAAACAGCCAATAAACAATCATTACCATATAATAAAAACAACTACCTGTATATAAAAAAATATTTAATATCTTTCAGGGGCATTTTTTGGATACATACACATATTGTAATTTTATTCAACATATGTCATTTACCTAACTAACATACTTCCTCTTGTAAAACTGCATAGATCTGCTATGCTTTCTTGATATATATACATGTGTGGATTTAAATGAAAATTCATGCAGACAAAGCTTATTTGACGAAAATAATCAAAATTAACTAAACCACATTGAGACAAGAAAGTCTGGTATGGAACAGGCAGCAATAAATCAAATTATATGCATATTTATTTTTTTATGAAGTAACACAGTTACATACATAAATTTTAAATCGCACAATTTAAAAAAAATACACCACTCTCTTCACTCGTCTCAAAAAAACTCATTTTCAAGAAAAAAATAAAATAAAAAAAGTTTCGCTCAGTCACCCCATATCTTTTGGAGCTTTTGTCCGAAGAACTACAAATCAACTTGGTGTGGCCTAATTTACACAAGGAAATTATGGTGAATGCAAAATGATTACTTTCTATAGTATAATTTAGGATGGAGGTTTTCAGAAATTTGACCATATGTTAAGAAGGAACATGATAATTGTAGGATATTGACATCAATTAATGACATCTTGGTGTAAATAACTAAAAGAAATGAAAAGGTTTACTAGTAATCCTATAATCTTCACCATCTAATCTCAAGGGGTTACATATGTAATGTAAATAATTAACTTATCAGAATCTTTTACTGTGTTTCATTATTAAAACCAGTCAAAAGAATTCCATATGGAAATTAAATTAATTAGGTAGGAATTTCTGGCTGTGTCACTGTATGAATGAGGATGTTTTGAATATTTTATTCTTATATCAAGATGCCCTCTAAGATTTTGTCATTGACTATTGCTGGTCTCCCTCCCTACTCCGCCATAAGAATTCTCTTGCAGTGTTTACTCTGTTAGATAAAAAGGCAAATTGAATACACACCTTTTTTTGTGGATTGTTAGAGATTTATAAGCACCACATCTTATTTTTATATGGCATCATTTCCATGTTATTCAGACTTGCTACAAGTCTAGTTAAGTTAGAAGGATAACACTTTAGTGGTAGCTGTGGCAATAGTGTAATAGAAAATCAACATTCATTTTCAAATCTTTTAATTTATAGTACATGTAGAAAATGCTGGGGTTAATACAATCAATGTAGAGATGGCCTTGTAGTTATGTACACCTTTCGGTTATTGTTATTAAAATTGAGATTTATATGCAAGTACTATTATATAAAACATTATTAAACACATACATGACAAATATCTGCACAGAATTTGACAGTACAATACACTGGCTAGTCTTGTGGTCTAATTGACAATCTTTATATCACAAACAACAGTTAAACACTGAAAATCCTCTTGTTTTAGAATAAAGTTTCATGTTGTGTTGTTATGTCATTTTTGAAAATTTTTTAAAAGAATTCTGTCTGTACATGCAACACCTGATAACCACTGCTAATTACATTACAGTATGTGCAGTCAACAATTAAACACTATGACTCAAGATCTGAGAAATGCTAGTGGTGGTAATGAATTGGGGGAAAAAATAACTCATTTAGTCATTACTTCTGTTGTAAATGTTAAGATTGTAGAAATTTTATAAGTGGCTAAGAATGCAAGGTCTTTGATGATGTAGATGATGAATAACTTCCAGTTAAATATAGTACCTGTGTACTGCTACCATAACTCTAAAATAGGTGCTCTATATACACCATAGTTCTTAAACTATCTCAAAAACAGAAATGATTTTAGTTAAGTTTAGTCTGTATATATATACTTCTAATTAAGTATAGTACCAGTGTACCACTACCATGAATCTGGAATACAACACAGTTCTTAAACTACCTCAAAAACAAAAACGATTTTAGTTAAGTTTAGTCTGTATATATATACACTTCTAATTAAGTATAGTACCAGTGTACCACTACCATGAATCTGGAATACAACACAGTTCTTAAACTACCTCAAAAACAAAAACAATTTTAGTTAAGTTTAGTCTGTATATAATTAATATTCATGCATTGTAATTTAACAACAATCACATTATATGTTCAAAGTGTAAATATTATTTTAGATAGCATTACAATGTGTTGTAAAAATGACCCAAAAGTGTAAATGTGTATATGATATCTTGAACAGTTTTGTGTTCTGCCATTGTTTAATCTGATTGCAGTGGAGTATCTAGTGTTACCCATTATCAATTCTTCTTTCATTACAAAATATAACAGTTGCGATAGATATGCTTGGAGATATGTAGCCGAATTTTGTTGCTAAAGGGAGACATGACTATACCTCATTAAACCACCATCGTCATCAATATTTAGGTTTAGTCAAAAGACAGTATATATCCAGAGCAAAATTTTGAAAGTATTTTTATCCTTTTTTCCATATTTTACTTGTAAAAGGACTAAGGTTTTTTGGCAGTCAACAATAAGATACAGTATGGGGTTATTCTGTTTAGAAAATATTTTTGTTTTGTTTTTCAGTATTTCACTGATACATGTAGATGGACTTTATAGTATTTTTACAGTTAACATTTACATACAGTCTTGGATTAGATTTTGTAGACATCAATAACTTTGTTAAACCTTTGGACAGAATCTTCTTCAAGATAAAAAAAAAATAGAATCTGAAGAAAAAAATATGATTTAAAAATGTTCATCTATACTTTACTGATAAGTAGACTTAGTTTTTTGCAGTCAACATTACACTTTAACACTGACAGACTTTACTAATTATTTGTTTTTAAGTGTATAAATGTGAGTTACAGGTCATGTTCATGGTTTGTGTGGCATTCTCTTCACAGAGTTTAGATTACCATTTGTTCACGAGTCTTTAAATTATATATTAACTTCATTCAGCAGGAGGTGGTATTCACATGCAGTTTTGTGACAAATTGGAAAGATACAAATGTATGATGTATATTGATTCATAAGAAATTTATTTCCGGTAACTTTTAGGACCAAATTGTTTTCCATAAAGAATCCTCCTACCTCCACTATACACAACGTTATCACTATTAAGTATTCTTTCCTGCTTGTAAGAAACCTCAGAGAAAACATTTGATCAAATTTGTATGCTGTGTATTGTTTTTAAGTTTTGGCAACTTTGGTCAACATTTTTTTCATTCAAATCAGGATTTGCATTTTGCCCTAATAGGATTTATTTTAGAAAATAAACAATTAACAAACACGTTTCAATTCAGTATTTTTTTTGAGTATATTTGCAAAAATGAAGATTTTAATTTTTGCTGAAAACATTGTTCTGTAAATATTTATTTTCATCCTTATCATGAAATCTAAGACATTATTACATTGAACAAACAAACAGTTCTTTGTTTTTTTAAATGTTTAAAATATTCTTGGCCCTAAAATGTATTTCTTGAATATATTTAGTGTGTATATAAGTAAAAGATGATAAATCACTTGTAGTCCATCATATTTGGTAAGAGTATTTTAAGATATGTCTGGTCTATGATGAGTTGAAGGAAGTTTAATGGTCTGCCACAAAATTGATCTTACTAGTACTTGTGGTTTGCTCCTAGACCTATTGTCTTCAAAAGTAAAAATAAATGACCCATCGCATGATTATTTACAATGTGATTGTTGTGGTTAAGTAATATGTACTATGTTTGTGTGTTTATGGAACAAATTGCATTTTAATGTTGTAGGTCAAGGAAAAGTCAAATGTTAAGTTTGTGGTGTGGTAATTAGTCAGCATTTGGAAAACACGCCCAAACCGTCAAGTTAAATGTTAAGATTTTTAGGTTATCTTAAATGCATTTGTACAATGCTAAATCTTCTATCGGGTTGATTAAATGATTTAGAATTATTAAAGATTTTGCTTTTAGGACAACAAATCTATACAAATGAATAATAACATTAATTCAAAGAAAAGTGTGCATTATAAAACTAGGTTTGAAGCAAGTCCTTGTCACTCCGTCCGTTGGCAAATCAGTTTTCCTCTTTTTTTTTCTTTGTGCTTTAAGATATTGATTTGATATTTGGTATACCTTTTATCATGACAAGTTAGAGATCAAGGTCGAATTTTGTTTCGGTCTGATGATTTTGTACAAAGTTATGGTCCTTGGATAATCAGTTTTCGGCACTTTATTTTGTCATGCTTAAAGATATTGATTTGATAATTGGTATATAGTTTTATCATGACAAGTTACAGATCAAGTTCGGATTTTGTACTGGTCTGATGATTTTGTGCAGAGTTGTGGTTCTTGTACTTAGAAAATTCACTCAAATAATCAGTTTTCCACCCTTATTTTCGTCATGCTGGAAGATATTGGCTTGATATTTGTTATATAGTTTACACCATGACAAGTTATAGAGCAAGTTAGCATTTTGTTCCAGTACAATGAATTTTTAACCGGTAGGGGACAATACTCTCAGAATGCTTGTTATACAATAATTTGTAACTACAAATGTTGAATGGGAACTTTTTATCCGCTGTCTCGTGTATGTACAGAGATTGCCATGTGATTTGCACTTTAAAGAACCCTTGCAATAATAACTCAAGAGGGGTCTGTAGATGGACTCGATCAGTCAAACAAACTATGTGAATGATAGTAGACATATTAAACCAATATATGCAGATCTGTTAAAACTATGCAAGTGCTTGTACATTTGTAATAAATTTTACATTAATTCCTTAATTTTTAGCTGAGTTGCAAGAAAATCATGAAAGTTGAATTGATCTCATAATAAATTGATAAATGATGTCTGGATTGTCTTGTCCACTGACTTCAAAATTTTGGTTTCCAGACAAAATCTTCTAAGCCATAAACAATGTCTTTACCAAACATGGTTTCATAATGCCATAGGCAGTTAGGAAGACCCTAGGGTCACTATAAAGATCAAGGTTACATCAGTTATTGTCATTTGATAAGACTCAAATTTGGACTTGGGGCTAAACATTAGTTTCTGGTTGTTATAATTTGAACCATATATCCAACTTTTACCAAATTTGGGTTGAATTGCATCATCAGATGAAGAAGGCTCCTATTGTTTATTGAGGTCACTAGGTCAAAGGTCAGTCAGTTAAAAAAATGAAAACATGAAACAAAAAAAAAAGCACTCAATTCAATTATGTAGATCCAAAGTTGTCATTATTTCTATTCATTATCCTATAAAGTTTACAATATAGCAGAGATATTGTGGAGACATTTATTTTTGTGTGTTCCAAATTTCAAGAATCAAGGAAAATTGTAATCTCCTGGTTTTAACAAATTCTCCTTACCAGCCTTAAGAAAATTTTATTCATATAAATACTTAAAATTGTTGTTTTAAAGCTTAAATTTACTACTGAAATGTAGTCATGACCCTAAAGTTAGTCAACCAGATACCAATATCAATAAGGAATTATAGATACAAACATGTTTCTTTGTAGACAATATGCTGCATGGATAAATTTGTTTATATTTGAAATTATTACCAAGGTATTGTTGTAAAGATCAGAAATGAACAGAAATGCAGATAATATTTCATTTGTTTTGTCCTATGTTTTAGGATGAATTAGAATCCAAAGGAAAACCAAGTGAGCCATTATTAAGTAATGCTGTAACAGTAGAAGAAGGAAAAGCTTCCGGTCCTACAGCTATTAAATTTGGTTGGATCAAAGGTGTTCTGGTAGGTATTTATATCTGGCTAACAGTTATAGGAACCTATGTCTTTAAGAATAGAAGTTTTATTGTAGTAAAAAATAGTGTTAGAGTAGGATTTATTATAAATTTTATACAATAAACGTTCTTCCCTTTTTGTCTAAATTGCAAATTAAATGCATTTTGTAAGTATTCAAAAATACTGTCACATTAATGTAGACTTCTAGTTTGTTGTACATTGTATCAGATAAACATAATTGAAAGAAATAATTATTAACCTCTAAGAAGCTCTCAGTTGATTTGACTTTTAAAGTTTTTATTATGTATTTACGTCACAGGATTAGCTTCAAGACGTATGTAAAGGTAACCAACAGAATCGTGTTCAACATTACATTGAAAGAACACATACATCTTGTACTTACTGGTCATTAAAATCTACTGCAAAAATATCTTTTTATACCAACTAATCATGCTTTTTCTGACAGGCTGTTATTGAACATAGATCTATATGATACTTTGTAGGACATTCACTGGCTGTTAAAAATCAAATAAGTCATAGTATTATGTAATCTGTTAAGGAATTAGTGCAGATAAAGTGCAGCTATTTTCAATATATTCTATTGTGTTGATTTAAAGATATTTTTAGGTCACAGCGGAAATAAAAGTTAAATTTTAATGTTATGTTTAAGTTGATGATACATCACATGATATTACTTTAGGAAGAATTTTTCCATCAGGTTTCAGGTAAATTAGTCTCATGTGATTTGTGAGTAATGAGGTACACCTGCTATTTGTGTCAACCCTATTATAGATCATAACAAAGCACCTGTTGACACACAATTACCACCTCTTCTGAAAAAAATCAAGAATTCTTTAAATGATTGTTAGTAACAAGAAACTATTAATAAGTGACTGTCCATGGCCAAAAAAGCTAGTCTACAATCATCGCTTCACCTTTAGTTTTGTCCATTATTTTTTTTTAATCTTTTGTGAAACCACTGAGCTGAGTAGAATATACAGTGTTTCAGTATCTAGTTTTAAAATTTTCTCATGAAGCAAACATTATTAGAAATAAAAAACTGTAGGTAAATCATCAGGAATAGATTCTATGTTATTTACAAATCAATAGACAAATTGGTCTTGTTGGTAAATTGATCCAGGTATGTTCTCTTTTTGAAAATTAGACCCAGAGAACCTCATCTGCCAAACTAATAAAAATAGGGAGAAGATACTGAAGGGACAATAAAAAATCTGTTCAAAGAGAAACCATAAAAAAATATAAATCTTAAGAATTCAGAAAAAAACTATTTTCAATTTAATCTTTGTATTAATTATTCTGATAGGATTCCTGTTTTAACTTCTTGCAAATAGGCTTTATGGCAATTTTTGATTTTGGCCAGTGTCATCTGTTTTTAAAAGTACAAAATAACCACTACTAGACTTTGAGACGTGAGTAGATATTCTCAGCAAAGAGAGAAAAGAATAGTAATAGAACGATAAACAGATTATTTTTCTACGTATATATATTGTAAAATATCAGCCAATTGACACAGTGTGAAGCTTTTTTGCTTGATCACTGCGATCACTGGCCATAAAGGTTGACATTGTGGCTCGTGTCTGATGTTTTACAATATCAATGTAAAGAGATCCTGATAATTTATACCACCTTGTATGTCCATCCATTCAGGACAATGAGAGTTTATTGTTATTCATCATCTTCATTTCATTGAGCCTACATGTTCCTCTTCTTTTAATTTCAGGTACGATGTCTTCTAAACATTTGGGGAGTGATGTTATTTTTAAGATTGTCATGGGTAGTAGGTCAAGCAGGCACTGGACTGACCTCTGTTATAATTTTACTTTCTGTGGTTGTGACTTTAATAACATCCGTCTCAATGTCAGCTATTTGTACAAATGGAGAAGTGAAGGGAGGTAAGTATCTCTCATGAGAATAGGAACATACACTTATCAATTGATAGAACAATGAAAATAGGAACATACACTTATCAATTGATGGAACAATTAGAATAGGAACACACATATCAATTGATGGAACAATAAGAATAGGAACATCATGGATATTTGTCTCATTGGCATTCATACCACTTTTTATCTTGAGTCCTACAGTCATGAAATCTATGTGTAGGTGTTTGTGGAAAGCAGCAATTTTAAGAATACCAGATAGGGATCTATGTTGTTTTCTTTGATAAGAGGACTTATTTGTCTATGATCCTTACATAAGATTATTATATTAAAAAGAAGAATTTCTGACTTCTCTTATTCTTACTATATCAGAAATACCAGTCCTTCGTTACTGTTAATTTTAGCTGTTTTAATTCATTAATGGTATATGACAGTTGAAGAGTCCCTTCGGAAATCATCAGAGCAATTGAAATGTCTACAGAGACAATTAACCCTCCTTATATGTTATGTAAATCAATTATTTGGCTACAAAGCACAGTTAACATTGCATAATCCTGGGATGAAGTAGAATAATCAGTAAATACATAATTTGTTACGTTGATATCATTACTCAGTTCAATATCATGTACATTATAACATTCATAGGTCACAATGGGCTTAGATTACTTACATGCATATAATTCATCAAACTGGTTTCATCCCTGAGGGTATCACCTGACTAGTAGTCAGCATTTTTGTGTTGACATGAAATATTCTGTAAATTCATTATTTAAAAAATGTTGAATTATTTCAAAACACTACTTTAGGTTTTTCTACACCCTGTAATAGGCTGCCTTAGCTGTAGGTTTTTCTACACCCTGGAATATGTTGCCTTAGCTGTAGGTTTTTCTATACCCTCGAATAGGCTGCCTTAGCTGTAGGTTTTTCTACACCCTGGAATACGTTGCCTTAGCTGTAGGTTTTACTACACCCTGTAATAGGTTGCCTTAGCTGTAGGTTTTTCTACACCCTGTAATAGGCTGCCTTAGCTATATGTTTTTCTACACCCTGGAATAGGTTGTCTTAGCTGTATTTGTCCAGAGTTTTTGAAATTTTTTTTTTCCTGGTGGTCATTAGGACCACAAAGACTAAAAGTCTGGTGGTCCTGTAATTTTACTTGAATTAATTAAACACCTATTAGTTACATGTATTAAAGTCATTGCTCAATACTATATTAACTCCATCCTAGTTTCTATGTTATATATTAGGTTGTTTTCAATAAAATTGTAAACTCTGCATTGTTCACTAATTTTTATACTTTGTCAGTTTGATTACATATTTGATTACATGTTTGTTTTATGTCTCATACATTATACTACAATCATTTACAGTGAAAAGTGCATTAAAATGATAGAAATAAAAGACTAAGTCTGCTGTTTATTCCTCAGCTGCAAATTTTGAAATATAGAAAAAAATTTCATTCTCTGTTTGTTCAAATACAAAGTCCTCTGGTTCGTTTAAACGAGATTGGCCATGCGGCAGCCATGATGACTTTTACGACTGGTTATTTTTCAAAAGTATTACCGTAATTTTGAGCTATGCTACAAAAGTTAAGTTACAGTAGTTCCCAGTTCAAAAACTATCTGAATACCAAAGAAACCGACAACTGGTTCTTTTTCAAAAGTATTACTGTAATTTTGAGCTATGCAATTAAAGTTTGTTTACATTAGTAACCAGTTTAAAAGCTATCTGAATACCGAAAAGATGTAAAATAAAAGTGAACAACCACCAAAATTTTGTCGGTCATCATGACTACCACTACACATGCAATTGTCGATCCTAGCCGATTTTTGGCGGTCAGGACTGACGGTTTTCGAGAACTCTGTTTGTCACAACTTTTTGGAATTTTTGGTTTTAAATTTTCTAACTTTTCATTTGATTTGGCCTTTCAACTGTTTTGATTCAAGTGTCACTGATTTGTTTATGTAGACGAAATGACATGTGTGTCAGGTGTACCAATTTATCATGTGTCAGGTGTACCAATTTATCATGTTCATTGAAATGTGTGTCAGGTGTACCAATTTATCCTGTTTATTGAAATGTGTGTCAGGTGTACCAATTTATCTTGTTCTTTAAAATGTGTGTCAGGTGTACCAATTTATCATGTTCATTGAAATGTGTGTCAGGTGTACCAATTTATCATGTTCATTGTCAGGTGTACCAATTTATCATGTTTATAGGCCTGGTATCTTTGATGTGTTTTAACATTTATAAACTTTTTGGTTGCCCTGATACTCAGTCATGACTATTTATACACACAATGGCATTCTGAAACGGTGTAGGTGGAGTCTGTAAGTCAGTCTGTCTGTATTCTTTTTTTCTCGTCTGATTTGTGAAATTTTCACAGAATCTTACTCACACAATTTTTATTTTGCACTTGCTATTTTATTTCTACATCTAAGTGATTCTTAGGGTTAAGTTTAGCATGACATGGGTTTTGTCACTACAGTACACATTTGTATATCCATTTCCTAAACCCCTAATTAGAGTTGGTGACGCATATTCGCCGCAAAATCCGTTCATTTCCACCTACATCCGACCTACATTTGAATATTTGAAACTTTTTATGTAGGTTTCAGAAAGTTTACTATATGAAAAAAATGTTTGATAAAGGAATTCTCTTCAAAACATTGGTTAAATGTTTTAAAAATGAACGCAAACTCGAGAGGAAATCAAGTTGTTCTTGTGCCATGGGGGACACATTTTCGCCGCAATGTATGATATGACCATCCTCATTATCCTTGTATATTATAAAAACAATTGTTTGCAATTACATGAATAAGCTTGAGAGATCATTCCTATATGATTTTTCTAACAGATATTTACTTTATGACTGCGCATGCGTGCCATATAAATTTTACATAATTGCCAAAATCGTTCAAAAACACCTGCGTATTTCTTTATATGTGCGAATAACATTGGAAATGGGGTAAAGAGGAATATCAACATTTCGAACATTACAAACAGCATTTAGCATCTATTTAGGCAAGTATTGGGTAAAGGCACACGAAATTTACAGAAAAAATTGCAAAAACGGCGAAAATGTGTCCACGGCGAATATGCGCCACCCACTCTAGATTTAAATGAAGCTGTTGGATCAATAGAAGTGATTTTCTCTGTTCTATTGTAGATGGTGCTTTTAGACTGATTTTGTCTGTTTTATTGTAGGAGATACTTATTTTATGATATCACATAGTTTAGGCCTAGAATTAGATGGTACTTTTGAACTGATTTTGTCTGTTTTATTTTAGGAGGTGCTTACTTTATGATATCACGTAGTTTAGGTCCAGAATTTGGTGGTGCTATTGGACTGATTTTCTCTGTTGCTAATGCTGTAGCTGTTGCCATGTATGTTGTAGGGTTTGCAGAGACTGTCCGAGATATATTGAAGGTATTTATCACAGTTTCAGGATTTATTTTATTATTTATGTCCTTGATATTGTAAGAATTCATATTAGTATTATGGCATTATACAATGCCGTATTGATAAAGTATGAATTGAAATCAATTAATAGAACCAACACAACAATATAAGAACTACTGCTCAACATGCTCAAAACATTATTGCCTGATATAGAATTAATATGTATTGGCACTCACATGCAGAAAAATCATGACCTCTTTTTGGTTTGTTCTAAATGTGATCTACTACAATATTCAATGTAATATTTCTTTTATCTTTATTTTTGGTGAATCTGCAAAATATAAATCTTACAAAAAAGCTGTGAATTACTAACATGTCATTGACAGTAAAAATTTGCCTCAGCTTTGTAGTTTTGGTCTGATTATTTTTTAGGAAGATCTTTAAATTGACTAATGTTTTTTTTTCATGATAAAGTCATTTTGGTACATTTATATATTTATACAATGACACAGTCCAATATTGAATATTTTTAACACTGAATGCCCTGAAAGTGAACTTCTTGACATGTTCTAGTACAGTTAGAGTAATAATAATTATGTTTGTATTATGGGAGATATAGGTAGAATAATAAATGTCCATTGTCATAAAAGTATTGGTGTGATCAATATGGTTATAAGTCTGATTAATATATACAAAGCTATTTGCAGTAGAATTAATTATGCATGGAAACTGTCGATGGTATTTATTTGTTCTGATTGTCGATCAGAAAGAAGGAGTAACCTCAGCCATTAAAGAGAGACAAGTGTCAGAAATAATCTATAATGTAGACAGTAATAGATGTTATCAGTATTCCATATTTCTTATTGTTAATCACTTCCTAACGAGACAGTGGTATTTATTTGTAATAAAAGTTATTTGAGTCCAAAGGCTTTAGGATTGACCGTGTGAACATGTTTATTCCAAATTACATGACAGGATTCAAATTTGATTGATATAATACTTTTGATAACCTAGATCTATAGAACAAAATGTTGTTTTACCCTTCTAAATCTTTCTTTCTGCCCAGATGCAGTTATCAGCCCTTTTGCTACTCTTATGGTAGTAGTTAAAATTTTGAATTGGTTGACAGTAAAATTTGTGTAAATCACTGATAAAAATGTTGTGTTTCACATATTCTTCTTTTGACATACTATAGTTTCATTTAAAATGTTGCAATAAGTTCAAAACTTTTATCTTGTATAGATATATCATTGTCAACTTAAAAAAATATCAAAACATTTTCATTAAAAATACCAGGTAATTGCTTTGATCAGCTTGACCAGTTCTGTCAGGGATAAGCCACCTATATATTATGAATTCCCATTAGGTTTGAAATGAATGTTTTCATTTTTGCATAACATCTTTATAATATCCTTTTAAACCTGATAATAAAGGTTTTCTCCAAAGCTGATGTTTGAAAACATCCTGTGTTAGTAGCTCTATAGATACAATGTAATTCCTTTTTAAAAATTTAATATTATTTGTATTATTAAATATTTAGTATGTAATACATATTAAGGCCAAACATTAAAGTATGTGTGTATAGGTTGCACTTCTGTAAATATAGACAATGCAATTTCCCATAGGAACTCCCTTTGTGGCTAAAACTGTGCCACTTTTACTTTGCAGTTTTGTAAAAAAAATATATCCTAGAATGGAAAGTTGATATGCACCACTTTTTTTATTCAAAGGTTAAAACATAGGGCTGTGTGGCATATTTTCAACATTTGTATGCTCCGACCTTCTAAGAGTTTAAACTTCTACTAAAATTCTGTAATACCCCTACCTTCACTTTGGGTCTTCCTCAGAATTCAATGTTCGCTGCTACCATGTGTTTTTATACTGGTAACATTCCAAAGTTATGTCTCTATGAAATGAAACATAGAGATCATATCTGGGAACCAGTAGTAAACAAAACAAAATATCTATGAACACTATATATCATGTGGTTTATGAAACAGCTGTATTTACAAAGTGCAACCTTTAGGGTTTCTCCTTAAGAAAAACAGGGTACCTGTAGGTATATGTGGGTAGGTTTTTTCTTCTGTTTTTTCCATGAGTATATGGGGAGTTTTGTCAGAATTAGCAACTGCAAGTGGCAATCAAAACGCTAGGTAGGTAGGTAGGTAAATTGGGGAACCTGAACCCCCTAAAAAGAGTAGTTTTTTTTTATTTCTCCAAAATCAGAATATTTATGAATGTGCTGTCATTATAAACTCTTATTTTTAAAAAAGAATAAGATTTTTTTTTACATTGAAAATACTTTTATGATAAAATTGAGACAAGGAACAAAACTGTATATTGAAAGTTAAGGTGAAAAACTAAGTTCAACTTAACCACCCCTGTGCATATGTACAAAAAATGTTTCTGCTCTCCGACTTTCAAACCTATTGTTGTTGGGGAATGAAACTTGGCATAATAGTTCACCACTGATAGAAAGAGTGATATAAACAAGGAAGAAAACCGTAGGCTTATATAATATATTGAATGTTGTGGTAAAAAAACTTAGATTAACTTAGACACGCCTTAACTTAGCCACGCCTTGTGCATTAGTACAAAAGTGGTGGTGCATCAATAACATTTCTATCTTCTGAAGGTATAAGCTATGTTTAATTGTATGATCCTGAATAATTCAGATGATAAAAAAAATGCATCAAAATTTAGTAATGAACTCGAGCAGGTACATCCGTGATGCTGCCATTCCCATCCTCTAGTTCACTGCAAAATAGTACCAAATGGCCAGTTAGACAAGATTACTTTTAAATTGCACTAGTAGAGAAGTCCTGTAATACATGTTTTTTTTGTTTTTTTCAGTATATACCCAAAAAAACTGTGTTGAATATTTAATTATTTACAGTATCAATAGATAAATTAACTTGTGTGCAAAAAAATAAAACACATTTACATTTTAATTAAGTTTAATGATGATGTGCCTTTGTAGTTTATATCATTAATATAAAGAAACTAGACTAAAAAAGGTTGTTACCTAAATTGTTAATGTCACAAATATAGAAATAAATGATATAATTTCAAACTCTTTTACATGTAATTATTTTAATGTTCAAGGTTGAGACATGCTTTTAAACAAAACAATGTTCCTATTAAACATGAGAAAGCTATTGGTATATGTAATGGTATATTGTTAACATGCTTATTCTGTCACCTTTACAGTGCTGCACATCATTATTCTTAATCAAATGCATCATTTATTTTGTATCTTCTAGAACATGTTCAAAAAGAATTTAGAGTCGCATTAATTTCCTTGTCTGAACAATGATATAACATTTAAAGTACAGGGGCACACCAAATAAAAATATTGTTATTGTAGAAAACTAACACGTTAACAGGTATTTTGTCATACGAGAAGTGCATACATGCAGGTAATTTGCAGTTAGATCTGGTACAAACAAACAGACAGATTTATTTTCCATGTATCTCACGTAAATAAGCCTTCAGACTTGTATTTGTAGGAACACGATGCCTTGATGATAGACGAGGTCAATGATATACGTATAATTGGTATACTTACTACTACACTACTGCTAGTAATCGCTATCATTGGTATGGAGTGGGAAGCTAGAGTAAGCTATAGTCTGAATAGACAACCTTATAACATCTATAGAAATAAGAACGTTGCACTCTCAGTCTGGGTTAAAAGTAATGAATTTCATTAGGATTTTTCTAGAATTTCAGTCGATATGAATGGCTTCTTTCATTTGTTAGAAACTATACACAGTAGATATTGAGACTCACATATCAATAGCCTTATTTCACATATACTGGTAGACCTGTTTCAACTGCTCAACTTTAACCATAGTTTCTGATCCCTTAATTAATTATACATTTCTTTTCTATAAGATTCATGCTACATTTCTTTTCAAAATACATTTTCTTCAATTTGCCAAATAGAAAATACATAGTAAAAAATGAAATAAATAATAGAAGCAAAAATTGCTTTATAATGTATGAATATATAGATAAGGTGCACATGTCAGTACCTATTTTCCTGTAAAAACTTTCTGACTCTCAAACAAGCAAGATACTTTTAAATGTTAAATATAATCCTTGTAAAAATGATTATTGAAGTTTCATATTTTTTTCAGGCACAGATGGTGTTGTTAGTAGCCTTATTAATTGCCCTTGTTAATTTTATAATTGGAACATTTATCCCTCCAAGTAAAGAAAATTTAGATAGAGGTATCGTAGGATATAATAGTAAGTAATTTCTTTATAACTTATGACAAGTGAAAAAGAAAAGAGTAATAAGATGTCTTTAGAATACAGTTAAAGCAGACACTGATGAAAAGAAGTTTAAGAATATATGAAAATTTTGGAATTCTGAATGCCTTAAGTCTGCCGTTGGCAGCAGTTTCCTTGACCTGACCATTTATTATATGATACCCAATTCTAGTGCATTAGTTTTTATAATTTGTATTTTTATGCAGTTAAATCTGTCTTGCGAGTTTAAACTGTTGTGTGTGCAACTTTGTTTTTATCATGTAATCTGGAATACCAATCTGTGACTGGTGGTAGACATTTGTGCTTCTAAGAAATAGACATTTATGCTTTTGTATAGGAAAGCTGTGATTATGACTTCCCTTATCTTTATTTATCTGTACACCATCAACATAAAACCTGGCTTTTCAGTTTCTTCCGAAAGAAAAGAGTACATGGCCACCAAAAAAATCACAGTTATAACTTACAATTATAACTCCCAAAAACTTAGATAGGTCAGAAAGGACATAACAACCAATAAGAAATACAGGTTTATTTAAGGTTTATGGTATAAGGTAAATAGTGCACAACCAATAAGAATTACAGGTTTATTTACGGTTTATGGTATAATGTTAATAATGCAAATGAGTTCTAGATGTCATAAAGATGAACACAGCATCAAAATACAAATGTCCTTTTGTGATAAATGTAAAACAGGGCAAAGTACTTTGCTCATATTTTCTTGTATAAGTCAATTTGCTTTTAAATGGGTTTGATGTTTTCATTTCATGTTGTAACAGGGTTTGAAATTACATATATTAGAAGTCTTTAGGCTAGTAGATTTTTTAGGATCCTTTTTCGTTTTTGGTAGCTTGGGCACAGGTAAGCCTGTGTTAATGATTGTAAGTATATGTATTGTTCAATGTAAAGATAGCAGTTAAACTGAATCAGTAAAGAACCATTGTTACAGGTACAGGTTCATGTATGAGGGTTGTGTTCTATGTGAAAAGTGAAGCTGTACACAAAAGTAAATAAAGACAAATATGACTGAAATCAACTAATAAAGGACTAAAAAAAACGCAAAAATTGTACTATTATTTCAATTTTATTTAATCCATATCTTTAGTTAAAGACAGTTGATTTGTCTTCTAACTTCCATCCTTGACTTCTCTTAAATAACTTACATCAGCTTTTTGACATTTAAGACTTATCCACGAGTATCAGTGGTAAATCAAAAACATTCACTAGTACAAAAATTAAAAACAGAAGTCAAAGTATGGACTTTCATTTGGCAAGTCAATCAAGAGGTTGGAGTTGAAGAAACACAGATCACTACCAAAATTTTTGAATAACAAAATTGACTGAACAGGGCCATTTGTTATTTTGTGGTATTATTTTATCTACTCCATTTATATTTCAGGTACTCTTTTTGAAGAAAATTTGAAGCCCCAGTTTAGAGATGGTGAATCTTTTTTCTCTGTATTTTCTGTATTTTTCCCCGCTGCGACAGGCATATTGGCCGGGGCTAATATATCAGGAGATTTAAAAGTAAGTATTCAGATTAAGTAGCATTCAACATTAGTATTTGATCATTTTGATTTCGAATAAAAAACTATGAAGTGATTTATACTAATGTTATTCATCCCTATAACACAGAACATCTGTCTAAGAAGAAAAAATATGAACAGAAGTGTTAACAACAACAACAACTTCATAATGGATTGCTTCCAAACATAAATACTGATACAAATTAAGGTATCTTTGTGTAGATCTCCATACAAAATACATGTACAAACTCTTGATTGGCCCTCAGAAATAAGCTATGAAGTATAATCAGGATAGAGTACCTATCTCTGAATGTTATGGACTGATCTGCTGTCCTGTTTGGTTCCAATGATATGATGATTCAGTTTTCACCAATAGCTGCCTTCTCCTGCTTTCAAATACCATGGAATACACATGCATATTTTTGAGAAAAATGATAATACTAAATGTTTTACCCCACCTTGTTTTGTGCCTGGTCAATGAGATAAATGTGAAAAGTCTTACATAATCTATATTTGTGTATTTATGATACACACAAACTTTTCACCACAAAAATTTTGGATTTTTTTTTTTTACCAACTTGTGAAACTAAGTTCGAAGTCCTATATTTGTATTTGCAGTTTTCTTAAGCGATTTCCTCTCTCAAAATTTAGTTGAAAATGTGTTATCAAATGAAAATTTGAATCCTTCACATGTGTAAAAATAAGGCTAAATAACCCAACAAAGAATACAAAAGTTGAATTTGTCATTAATTGGAAGTTGAAAAACCATGTGTTTTCTGCAAACAAGTTTGATGTTAGTATGTGGAAGTCCTGTATATATAGATATTACTCATGAATACTGATTAGCAATGATAAAAGTGCTGTAATTATGTAAAATACTGTTTACACTTTAATATTTTAAGAACTTTAATGTACAATTTAAAACACAAATTTTAATGTCGTGATAGTACAATTTCCAGTATGAGCATAACTTGCTTAGACTAACAAAAGCAAGTGGTAGTTAGTACTGGGTTCAAGTTATACTACTCAGATGTCTACTTTTGGTGAAATTTTGTTGTCTGGTTGATGTTTAATTTACCTTTTCTTTTGTTTATATTGATTCTACATTTGTTTTTTGTTAACATAAATTGTACAAGAATTACCTCTCACATCTCTCCTTTTTTTTACAGAATCCTCAGAAAGACATTCCTCAAGGAACAATTCTTGCCATTTTAATATCATCTGTTGTGTATATAATTGTTGCATGGATATTAGGCGCTACTGTGATACGAGAAATTCCATTGACAGTGTGTCAATCTATGCTTGTAAATAATACTTTACAATTAAACACCAGCCTTGTTACCTCTGACAATATAACATCTACAATGGCTAATTGTACTGTTGATTCACAAAGTATGTTTGGATTATTGCATGATTTTCAGGTAAGATATTGGAAAGTATGTCAACATTATATCATGAGTGATATACCATTTAAAAAAAAAAGACCTGTATTATCTCTACAAAGGAAATGTCAGATCTTTGGAAGATTTAAAGAGGTTTTAAGATAATTTCCGTTCTCGTGAACATTACATATTTTCAAAATAATGTTTAACTTGTTTGATTTATAATTTTAAAAAAATATATATTTTGATGGCAATTTTGATAATGGTTTGGGTACCTTTATACCATGTGAAGAAATATTTTTAAGCTTTTTTTTACTGTAGGATACACATAGATCTATTTACAACCTACCTAAACTTTTACAGTTTTTTTTTGGATATAGGAAAAGGTAAAACAGCTGCTCAGCTTTGCTAGTTATTGTTAGAATAAGTATAATTTAGCTACCCTTTTAATTTTGAAAATTTTCCAATCAGTCATTCAAGAGTTATGGGGCTTTAACCATGAAAGTAGTAAGTTCGATAAGGGCCCTATTTGGCCCCGAATATTAATTTCATTGTTTCAAGATGATGAATAGGCATGTAAGAAAGTAGAATAAACTATTTTTGTTGAGGTTTTCTTTTAAAGGTATGACATTTACACTCCAAATATGCCAAATATTGAGATTTGGTAAAAGTTGACAAAATCGTCTGAATTTCAACCATACTTATTGTAAAGATTGTTCTCAATCTTTCTTACAATACCTTTAGTCTGTAGATATTTATTCTATTCAATAGCTTTTCGAAATACATTAGCCAGGTTTTCTAAATAAAATAACAACTAAACTACTATTTTAAGAAATAGAAATTATTATTATTACTATAAATTACTACAAAGAATGAAAGTACAATATGTTTAACGGTTTTCTGTGATTTTCGTGCGTGAAGTATTTACCTATTAAGTTTCTGTAAAGATGAGTTCAAATTCGTTTTGCTATTCGGAAAATCCCCTTTTTATAATACTTAGCACGCCTTATCCTTGCGCGTAAGAAAATAGGTCGCTACTGGTCAAGGTTAATCATATAAATCACTGTCAATACATACGTAAATATTGGATTATAAAGAAAGCAATCACGATTTCATACGTCTCGACACCGATTTATCAATATAAAGCATATAAACACAAGTAACTAAAGAAATGTAGGATTAATAACAAGTTAGAAATCAAAGATGTTATTCGAATGCCACATGTTGGCGTAATTTCGTAACGCTAAATCGGCAACTGCCAATTTTGCCGGGAACAACGTTATGTTAACACAAAGGTAAAACCGCGTTATTGAATGTTCACAACACTGCCCTCCGTCAAAATAGAATTTCGTCTCGAAATTTAAATAATTGCGAAATATTAAATCATTAGATACAATTAAACAAAATCTAAACAAGCACCTGCTATCTCAATAGAATATTAAAATTAAGAAAATTTGTTTTTGTCAATGTTGACTAGATCACGAATATATCACAATTCTTGACACGTATAATAATAAAAGTGTACCAATGATATATAAAACAATATACATATAAATAATGTCAACAATTTTGTAGTTTTGTGTCTTTCAATATAATAAATAAACTGTTTATAAAATTTTCAATGTTTTCTTTGTCCAACAACTTCACTGTATTATTGGTTCGTCTCTTTTTTTTTTTTTTTTTTTTATGTGTCCTCTTCTGTTTTTTTTTCTTTATGTGTCCTCTTCTGTTCTTTTCTCTTTCTGTGTCCTCTTCTGCTCTTTTCTTCCTTTTTCTCCAATCTTTTTGTGTGTCTTGAGTTACCTGTTTTTCATTCTCATGTTCTTTCTCAGTTTGGTCTAAATCTGTTTTACGGAAACTTTCTTTCAGTTGACTTATTTTTTCCACCTGACAGAAAAAGTCTCCATCCTCTTTTTTAACTGAAACATTTACAATTTCTTCCGTAACTGGAATATTTTGATTTTCTTCTGTTACTGGAACATTCACAATTTCTTCTGTAACATTTACATTTTCTTCTGTAACATTTACAGTTTCTTCTGTAAAATTTATATTTTCCTCTGTAACATTTTCATTTTCTTCTGTAACATTAACGTTTTCTTCTGTAACATTAACAATTTCTTCTGTAACATTAACATTTTCTTCTGTAACATTAACGTTTTCTTCTGTAACATTTACATTTTCTCCTTTAACATTTACATTTTCTTCTGTAACATTTACATTTTCTTCTTGCAAGAGCTCAGGCAACATCTGGACATCGACCTTGTCCGTCTGTGTACCCTTATAACTTGTACTGGTAATATTTCCTATATGTACATGTACATGCATGTCCTGCGTACTTGCTACCATGGGTTTTCTGTCATCGGCCATTACCGGCTCTACCATTGAATCTCTGATTGACAGGAACTCACTTCTTTCCGCTTCTTTGTCAACGATAAGCCCAGAATTGGTGTCCTTTACTCCGACTCTGGCTTCTCTATCAGTTTGTCTCTTAGTCTCACATTCAATCCGCTGACCATTAAACTGTAAGCCTTGCATAGGATTGATTGTGATATTCATTTCATCAATTAGGTCACAACCTAATAACATGTTATCTCCAATGGGTGCTACATAAACTGGCCATTTGAAGGTTTCACTTCCCAGATTAACTTCCACCTCTGTAATCCCTCTTGTTGTCAAGTTCTTACCGGCCTCAGCAACTACCAAATTTCTTGCTGCTCTCCTTAGTTTTGGCCGTTTACTCCCAGGAATCTGATTATACAACTTCTCACTTAGAACCGTCACCTCTGCTCCAGTGTCAATAACTGCATTCGTCACAATCTTGTTAATGACCACTGGAACTGTAATGCTAGCTGCTGTCACCCGAGCAATGATAATATTTCCTTCTATCCCGTTGATCGGTTCTGCACTACCCATTACCTCCTTTGGTGTGTTCTCTGGTGTGTTCTGTTGTATCTCCTTAGACTCCTCAAACAACATCTCTAGGCTTAAATCTAGGTCCCGTATATCTAGGCTATCTTCTTCAAATGATCTCTTTATATAAGCTGTATTCACTGATTTTTTCGGTTCAACCAAATGCTCTTTCATTTGGCAATGTTTCTCTTCATATTTCAAATTATTCTCTTTAACTTTTTCTTTACCATGTTTAGGGGCTGACACTTGGTCGATAGTCTCAACCCTTAGCAGTTTAAAGACTCTTCATTTTGGTTTTGACTCCTTTCATTATTCCTTATAAAACCACCTCTATTTTCTTCATGATTATGATAGGGGCTTCTCTTTTCTTTTGGACAATCTCTTATGTAATGGCCTTCCTCATTACAGTTATAGCATCTGGAATTCTTCATCTTGGTCGTATGGTCTCTATACACTTGCTTATTTTGCCATGGCCTACTGTCATAATCCTGTTGTGTATAATACTTTGCCATTTCTCTTTTAATGGTTGTCTCTAGTGACTCCGAAATTCCTCTTTCAAACTGAGTCAATCTTTCCTCTGTTACAAATCTGTTTCCTCCTACTTTTCTGACCTCTATATCTTCGGACCCACAATTATTTCTATAACTGTCCTCTGTTGTACCAAGCTGACGGATGTTTCTGTCTCTTGAACCTCTCTTGTAAGTCTCATATAGCGTTACTTGGTGTATTGCCTCTGTTATGCTAGTAATCCTTTTTGTCAGTAGCTCAATAGCAATACTCTGGTCCGGCAATCCTCTAAGCATATACTCCACACTGAGTGTACTGTGTGTTGCTGTGTCAATTGTGGGGAAAGACTTCCTGACCAACATCTCGACCCTTGAAGCATACTCCTGAATTGTTTCTCTATCATACTTTCTCAGAGTATGAAGCTCTTGTCTGTATGTTTCCGGGTACCCATGATCTCCAAATCTATTTGACATGGCTGCACAAAGTGCTGAAAATGATCTTTTTGTCTCTGGTGTAAGAAATGAGGCATATACCATTGCTTCATCTTTGAGGGCTGTAACCAGTTCTATGGCTTTGGTTGATGGAGTCCAATTGTTCATTTCCGCAATCAGTTCAAATTGCATCATATATGCGTTCCATGGATCCTTTCCGTTATAGAATGGCACTCTTGTTCTGCGTCCATTATCATTAAATCTTGGAACTTCTGATGTATTGATATACTGTGGTCTACTGGGATGCTGCATTGGTAACAAGTTTGGCTCTGTGATTGGTTGATACTGTTGGAAATTTCTATTTTGAACTGGATATTGTGAAAAATTACTGTTCGGGGCTTTATTTTGTATATATCGGCTATTCTGTACTGTATTTTGCGAATAGTTACTTCTTTGCATTGTATTATGAGGATAGGAATTGCTCACAAATTGACTCTGAGTATACAAGTTCTTGTTAAGAACTGGATTCTGTGAAATATTGCTGCTAACAATATCATGGTTTACATGGGTATGGGTACCAGCATATACATTTGGCTCTATATACTCTGTTGACTGGGTAATTGTGTTAACCAGATTTTGATTAGGGTTTGTTTGACTTGAACTTGGTAACGGAAGGCTGTTTTGTTGGACTGTTCTCTTTAATTCAAAATTTTCATTCTTTAAGGCATCTAATTGTCTTCTTAATTGTGTGAGTTCATCACTATCAGAATTGGTTGATCTTGAAATTAAAGCGCTATCACTTCGACTTTGAGTTGGAACAAGGAACGGATTAGTGTTATTCTCAGTTTCTTTACTTGTAGCAGGTAAGTTGATAGTATGATCCATGGTACGAGGACCTTCATAAGTCAAATGAGTTATCTCCCTTTCTCCTTCATTAACTGAAGTAGGCAATATATTTGGATACTTATTTATTGTCTCCCCATTATTGAATTCAGGGATTTTAAACCTTGCATTAAAATAATCATGAGAGTTTCTAGATTCCCCTGAAAAATGGGCCTCCATATTCCCAGATGATATGGCCTGGTTGGGAATGGCTAAACTACTTGGTGGGTTTATTCCAGATCCCCTTCCTCTTCCCCTTCCTAAAGACATTGATCCCGTAGACATACTAGGTTGTCTATTTCTCAAATT